CCACAATACTGATAAGTGATTAATAAAAGTCAAAAGACCAAAGAGGTCACCTTAATACCAAAAAAAAAAAAAAATAATAGTAGAGTTAATTCTATTTAGTATAGTTTATAATTTTTAAGACCTAATATAAGCTTATAATTGTGATTATTTAATAGTTATGTAACAAAAGTTATATATATCATTTTTTTTTTTAATTTTTATTTTTTTTTTTTATTTCTTGTTTTATAACTTTTATTTTTATCTTTTATACCTCTGTGTGATTTTTTTTTTATTATATAATAAGTTTTTTTTGTTTTCTTTTACTTTTTTATAAAAAAATATTATCAACTTAGTAATATTCTATTGTAAGACAGTGGTCAGATGTGCCTTCAGATCTCCTTCTTTCTTAAAAAATTAGACATTTGATATAGGCAGATTACTTGTAAGTGCTTATAGAAGTAACTGCAGGATATTAACTCAATATGTTAAGTTTAAAAATGTTTGTATAAAAATATGATATCTTATTAAAGAGCAATTAGCAAGACTGCCAAAATCAAGAAAAAAAAATAAATTAATATTTAATATATTAAATTTTGCTATTTAATTAATATTTAATAAATTCAATAATATGTTATATATATTATTTAATAAACTAAATATCAATTAAATAACAAAATTCAATAAGTTAAATTTTTATTAGTATAATTTAAACAAAAAAATACTCTTTTTAATTTCTAAAACAAACTATAAACATTAATATATAATTAATCTTTTTGTAATTAGCATCTGTTAATTTTAAAAAATAAATATTATGAATTGTTAATAATTATATTACATTTTTATCACATTTTCAAAGTATGTATTTTTTTATGATTTATTATAAGATTTATAATATAAAATTAATTTTTGAAAATCTTTTTTTTATATCAATTTTGTTTTTTTTTCTAGCATTTAACTTATATAAATATTATAAAAACAACTAAAAAAACATAAAAAATTTTGAGGATAGTGATCCTAGTATAGTAGTTGAGTTGTCATTCTCCAAGTGGCAGGTCTAAGATTCAAATCCTACCTATAACAAAATTTAGAAATTAATCCATGTTATAGCAAAACTTTCTCTTGATAATTATTTGAATTAGTGTATTTGTAACCTTAAGTTGTATCATCTCGAATAGGAGCTTAGAGCATTTATGTCAAGTATAACATTACATATATATAGAGAAATGTTAATAACTAGTGTCATTTAAGACTTCAGTGCAAACCTATGATAAGACTACTGGGTGCAGTAAACTAAAAAACTGAAGAGTTAAAAGTTTACTTGGAAATTCTCAAATAAAGAGATAGTATGAACTTTCAACAGTACAATCAGACTAATGAAAACCTATAAAACACCCTCAAAGAAATAGACGAATAAACCAGATGTCAAGATGTATAGAGAAGCATATAACCAACCAGGCCACCAGAATTGCTGAAGGAAAAGAATACATAAGTATACCATATTTGACTATCTGGATTGGAAGTCAAAAGAGTCCTATTAGTCCTAAGTAGCAATTAGTAAAGGATGATGAAGAAGATATCACAATAATAGGTACTGGGGTTCTAGTGAACTTTACAAGAATAGAAATAGTATAATGTAGTAATTAAACAGATAACCCCTGTGACTGCAAGTATTAGGTAACTATAGCATGTTGCATAAAACTAGATCAATTATGTGTAGAACATAGAAGGTTCTAGTAAGTTTTATATCAAGAATAAACTAATCTTAAGAGTCTTATAAGTATTAAGTACTTTAGATGAATATAGCCCAGAAGATGTCCTCATGATTACAAATCAGATTACATATGTAGAGGGTTTAAAGAAGCAAAACCCATAGTTGGTTTGCAGATATGACATCTAGTATAGAACCTATATAGTAATATATAGATAGACTACTTAAATTAGACACCAAAAGTGCATGTGTGACTAGTTGTAATCTCCTATGTATGGAAGCCCCTGGAGGCATCTGTGTCTAAATACTTAAATAAAAAATTAATTCTCAAAGACAGGAACTTTAACATAAAAAAAAAAAAAAAAAAATATATATAAAATTTTTTAATTTAATTTAACCAAATTTACTAAGCAAAACTTAATTAAAAATAAATACTTTAAAATACACAAAGCAAAAAAAATATTAGACCAAATTTTAAAATAATTAAAAATTCAATATATAAAAAAATAGTAAAACTGTTTTAAAGTATAATTCACTTATTAAAGAAATCAAAAAAATTTTTAGCTATTGTAATTAATACAATATAACTTAATTTTTATAAAAACATAAAAAATGAATTTTTTGTTTTATAAAAAAAAAACAAAATTAATAAAAATCAAAAAAAAAACTTAAAAAAAGCAAAACTAGTTACAAAAAAAGTTTTATTATAAAAAAAAAATTAAATCATAATGAAAACAATGAAAAAAATAAAAAAATAGTTTAAAAAACATAGTTTAACTTAATAAAAAATTATATCAGTAACAAATTAAAACTGTTCATATATAACCTTCTTGACTAGTTTGATACAACTTCTGAATTCAAATATATCTTCAACTGATGTGGCAGACTGTTTCTAAACATTTATAAAAATAACCAAAGAACAACAGGAGGGAACGTTAATGTTACACAATTGATTTTACACACGTTGTGAAACACAAAAAAATTTTTTTACAATACTTGAACAATCAGCTAGTGGATGTTATGATTATAATCACACACCATTTTTATTACAATAAAATGGTGTTGAATTATAATCATAACATCTATTAGCTGCTAATCAAGATTGTTCAAGTATTGTAAAAAAATTTTTTTGTGTTTCACACCGTGTGTAAAATCAATTGTGTAACATCAACGTTCCCTCCTGTTCCAAAGAACACAACACGATTAGTTTGAAGAAAAAACCCAGTTTATTTCTCTAAAAAAACCATCCGCATAAAAACCACTTTTTGTGCACTAACAAAAAGTTTTCCTTGAGTAAACTTCTTTCACCCTAACCCTAAACATAAATAAACTTCAAGAAATTTGGGGGGATATATTTTCTACGGGAAAATGTAGGGATGTTAATCGGTCTTTTGGGACCGAATCCCAACCGGTCCTTACAAGACTCTGTCCTTAAATCACATGAAAACACAATACATTTGGAATTATTATAACAATACAAATTAATTTGGTTGGATGGATTTATTCGATAGATTCAATTCGGGATCTCATACAGGATCTAAGTCCTATAAAATGTATTGTATTTTCATGTGATTTAAAGGATCGAGTCCAGGACTAACATCGCCTATAATTTACCTTTTATATATTATAAAGCTAATGTAGCGGTAGGAAACATAAATAAGTTTAACAAAACAAACAATTAAAAAAAGTAAAAAAAAAAGAACTCAATGGTGTGGTAGCTAGGCCAATCATATTGAATTATTCCCACCACTACGGAAAATTAATACCTTGTTTATTTAACATGATGTTACACGTCTTATTTGTAACACCTTACTTAGTATAGCCAATTCTATTGGTTAACTACATGGGTGTTACATGTAACAACTGTTACGAATACTTTTTTTTTTTGATTTAAAAATACTAAATAGTATACAATTTTAAAAACTTTTTTTTTTTACTCATAAATCTTATTGCTACGTATTGCATATAAAATACTAAAATCTTATACAGTAGTGCATATAAAGATATAAAAATATTATGGGGTGATGTTAAATTTTAATTACTTTTTAAAATTAAATTATATCAATATAGTTTTGTAAAAAATAAAACAATTAAATTAATGAAATATTATATGGGTTTAAATAAAAACACCATAAAAAAAAAAAAAAACAATTTAAAAATTAATGTCTATTTAGTAATTTATAAAAAATAACCTTTGAAAACGTTATTTAAATTTACAATAAAGTCTATCTATATATTTTGTTAATCTATCGTCTACCGGTCAGCTTCAACAGAAGCAATTTTTCAAACAAAAAAAAAAAAAAACATTGTAAACTACATTTATACAATAAATGCTTGAGTATTCTACTTTTCTATCATTCTAATGTTCGACAAAATAACAATGTGCAAAAAAAAAAAAAAAAAAAATATATATATATATATAAAAGATTAACACTGTCCTTTAGTAAGTCAAGGACCTTATCATATTTCCGCCTCCACCATAATACGTTATCCCATTATTTCTCAAAAGTTTGTTCTCGCCATCAATATTTGAGTCGTTAAATCCACTCATTGAGTTGCTTTCATTTTTAACATCTTTACCCAAGGGTCGGCGAAGGTGCACAGAAAAAACTTCGTATTCATCAACAGAAAAGTAACCAGTGTTTTCACGAATGGGAAATTCATAATCACCTTGTTTACAACAGCATCTTGAATCTAATTTAAAGTTTCCGGCCATTTTTAAATCATCTCTACCGAATGAAGGACCATAATTCTTGTAATAATTTATTGCACGGGCAGGATCTCGAACTCTACTTATTATATTTCGAAAACCTATAGGACTCGAATTCTGAGACCAATTACTTGAATTTTGAGAAACATTGCTACTATTACTTGTACTCGTAATAGAAGTTGAAAAATGACAGGTTTGTGATATATTATTACCAACGCAACCAGACTGAGAATCCAAACAAAAAATAAAACTGCTTTCGGTGTGTCCCCAAGTATTTTGAGATAACCATTGGATGGGAGTATAACCACCTAAAATCTCACCGGTACCATGAACTTTCATTACAGTAACAGTAGCATCCCGAGAATCACACTTTTCATGGAATTCAGAGCCCGAAAACCCATCTCTACTGCCTCTAAGGAGTAATTTAAATTCATAAGGATTATCCCAAGGTTCATATATTGAATAATCCACACAGATACCAGAATTATCGTTATTAGAATCACCATCGAGATCGCGACCATCAATCCAACTAGCAATTAAGGCAGCATGTTTTCTCTTTATTATAACACTATCGATTGTAGCCCTTTCAGGTTGAGACAAATCATCGTGTGGAATATAATCAGGTACTAGATGATATTGTAAGATATCATCATATAAATCGAAAGGAAGTATTGAAGCAAATGGCTTAACTTTCTTATAAAAATCACTACTAGAAATTTGAAGAAATCTAATAAAAGGAATGAATTTTTCAAGGGTTGAAGCAAGGATAAGAAATTCTTTAGAGGTCCAACAAGAAATATCTTTAATTGGGGAAGAAATTGAGAGATTTGCCAAAGCAGAAGTTAATGATAGGGAAGATGGAGAAGAAGAAAAGTTTAAAAAATAAGTTAATGGAGAATTATTTAAACTATTTTGTAATGAAGAATCATCTTTATCACACATCACAAAGCCACCATTTTCACATTCACGATCATCATTTTGTCGTTGTAATATGGAATAGGTTTGATAAATTCCCCATTTAATTAAATTTTCCCAAATAGTTATTTCTTTGATCATTAAATCATCGCGCTTCAATAAATTTAACAAAGCGGTTTCGTCTAAATTTATAAAATCTTCAGCTTGAAACACCAATTCAGGATCATTTATGATAATGTCCAAACAATAATCCTTTAATTTTGTAAAAGCACAAGAATGCTGAAAAGCAATTTTATGAGTAGTAGCAAAATTTCTTTGCATCCAGCTTGGTTTATAACATAATAAGTAGTCTTGAGCGTGATCTATAAGTTCTTGAAGACAAAGTTCGTCAGCAGCAACCAGAAGATCAAGGATTGTTAAGGCATCATAATCATCAAGAGAGATTTTCCCAGTATAGATGAACCTATGGATAAAAATTAAATAAGGACATAAGTAAAGACATAAGAAAAGACATAAGAAAAGACATAAATAAAGATATAAATAAAGACGTGAAGAGTATAAGGCTTTGAAAAACATACTTAAGTATAACTTCAAAGACAATTGGTCTAATATTAGGTTTACTAAAAGTGATTAGGTTATTCTCAATCTTAGCCCATTCGCTTGATAAAGCGGTTTTAAAATAAGGAGATCTAACACGTAGTATTATTGAATGCGAACGAAAGGTTTTAAAATCATGTTTTTCACCAACATTTATGAGAGTATCATAGCTTTCAGTGTCATTAAGTAGTAAAGAGAGATCTCGAGAGAGATTTGACAAAAAGTCAGTACACATTGACAATGATTTGTTATTGGACGTATTATATAAATTGTTCGATGTTGATGACTGTGAGAATGTAGTGGATATCGGTAGCAAAATTGACTGTAAAGACATGTAAAAAAAAAAATTGTTTTTTTATAGTAGATATAGTAGATTAAGGGGGATTTATATGATTTCAAAGGATAGTGTAAAATTGATATCAGTATGATTATTATTTTTTTTAAAAAAATAAACCGATTGATACGTAGCTTTTTTTGGAAAAGAGGTTTACTTGCAAAAATGGATAGGAATTGCCGTTCTTGAACCAAGTTATTATAATATATTGGTCAGGTGTTAATATCAATTAAAGGAATAATCTTTGTAGTACATGTATGGACGCACCTCGAGTTTTACACATTACACGTTTAATTCGATTTGCTAACAAAATAAGAAAACTTGTAAATTAAATATGAAATACGTAAGGGAAGGGTATTATGGCGCGGGTGGGTATTATGACGAATCAAATAACTTTTTTTTTATTCTAATTGCTAAACCACAAGTTATAAGCAAAAGACGATATTATTTATTCCAGTATTAAGAATCTTTTAATTTTTATTACATATTTCTTCATTTAAGTAATTCCCGGAGGAAGGATGCAATCGTAATACGATACGAAACACAGCGAGCATATTACCCCCCAAATATAAAAAAATATGGCATTTTTTGAAAGTTCATATTTAGATAGTTAATTCGATAAGTAATATATTATATCTAAGAATAAGTGCATCACAATACCTTGACTTAAAGATAAGCAATATGGATTCCTGGTGTAGTAAAGAGCCATATGTCTGATATCATGGGGATAATGACCCGATTATGATGAAATATTATATTTTGATCTAATATAAATTTAATGTATGATTAATTCACGTTACATCCCTATCTCATTATTCTCATGAAACTATAACCATTTTCATGCTTTGCATTTCTGCACTAAACGTGTATATATAACATTTAAGGAAAGTGTTGTGTGTTTCAGTTGATCTTTGATATTTTGATTTCGTTGTGTTATCCTTGTATTTGGTCATATCGACTAACACGTGATTAGCAATATTAAAGTTTTCACGTTTATACTAACGTTAATTGTATTTTCAGATTCTGAAACTTCCTACATGTAACTTAGTAATGCGTTTTGTCTTTTACATAATATTCTGGTGTTTGTGATTATTAATTTTCATTCGTTCGTACGTACCTACTTATTTTTTAAGAATGTAACATTTTAGTAAAACCTAGGTACCCACCAGGAAAAATCATTGGCATAATTGATGATTGGCTTAATGCATCTAATCTGTCTTGGACGAAATTTAATCTTTTAATGCTAGGACATGAGGTAACATTTTTTTTATTGGTTGTTTAAAAAACAATGTAACATAATTTCTTTATATTGTGTTTATAATAGAAAAATGGACCTGAAAATAGACAATTAAGTCAAGCGTCTGGGATCGAATGTTCTACTTTAAAGAATAGTAATACGTATTTTAATAAAAACGAAATTCACGTGAACAAGGTATTATAAATATTATACTATATTTATTGTGTCGCGATCGATAAATTTAATTTTTAATTTTAGCCAACCAGAATCCGTGTTGGCATATGACCTATTACAGTATTATAAGGTCATAAAAATATATGATACGTATGACTTATGATCTAGGTCATAACTGATATGGTCATAAAATATATGATACGACCTAGGTCATAATGATCCAATAAAATTATTTTATCAATAATTTTTTAGTTAGTTCGTGTATTAAACAAAATTTTACGACATAATATGTGATACTTAAGGCTACATTCAAATGACATATAGCGATGTCATTACTTAAATTTTATATGATGTAAAAGTGACGTGAAAAGTGGCTATTTTTGATCTTTTAAATATCTGTACCTATAGTGATTAGTAATATAAGGCGGTAGTTACCATGACTATACATGTTGCAAAATTATAAAATTATAAAATTCAAACCAAATTTTAAATTCAAATTTTAAACTCAAATTTTAAATATAAAATTTAAAACACAAATTTGAATAAAAAAATAATTAATTAGTAGTCCGTAGTTAAAGGGTACAAATTTATAGTAAAAATCGGCGGGCATGTGACTAGTTACCTTATATAGTAAGTGGAATGCTATGTGCTTCAATTCTTAAAAAAAAACTCTAGAAAAAATATAAATTTCTGATTTTGTTTATTATAAGAATCATTATTTTTTATTCCTTTTAAAAACAATTTATCAATTAATTGTATATAAAAATTAATTTGCAAATTTGTTTAACATCTAAATCAGAATTATTTATATAAAATAAAAGTTAATTATTGTTTAAAATCAGAATATAAGTAAATTTATATTAAAATTTTACAAAAAATTTTTTAATTAATATTTAGAAAATAGATTTATAATTTAATTAATTTTTTATATATCATTTTATATACAAATAAAAACTTGTATAATAAATTATATAAAATTATTATAATTTTAATTAAGAATTTTATTTTATTATTATTATTATTATTATTTAATTTTTAGTAAATAATTTTTTTTTAAATATTAAGGTAAGTACTTGCAACTTAGGATTTTATTAATAGTATATTTGACTAATAATTGCATTACAATTACAAGAGGCAATTATAAAAAAAGTATACAACTAGTTACTTATACAATTTTAGTTATTGTCTGATTTAAGTAGTTTGTTCAAAGGTTTTATATTAGTTGTCATATCTGAAATTTACTTATAAGTTTTTTATTTAAATATTCTAGTTCTTATATTCATCTATTTATCTTTGTCTACTAATACACTTATATAAAAAACCTTTGCTTTTATATTAAATCTTTTAAAATTTTTTGTATCTTATTTTTATAACTAACTTGGTAACATTATGTTTGAGATCAACATTTGCAGTTAGAATATATTATTAAACTGTTATATTATTGTAAAATTCATCTTAATCTCAATACTGATTTTACAACATGTTTTTATTATTTTAGTATTTAAATTTTATCAAGTTTTTAAATTAAATAGTTCAAAAAAATAGATTATAATTATACATTTCTGGTTTATATGTTTTTTTACATATAATTTTTTCTTTTGAACCAAATTTGATAACCTGGTTAGTTCTATTTAGTCTCTTTTTAAAAAGCAACTTTTTGTCTGATTTCATGAGTTTTAGTTTCATTTCATAAATCTAGTCTTTATAGTAATATTATCAAAAGTTTAAACTATCTTTTTACTAAGATCTTTTTAGTAGACTTTCATCTTACTAATTTCTATAATTTATACAACTACAAAGACTTATCACAAGTTTACATTATTTAGTACTAGTTTGTATTTCTTTATACAAGATATAATTATTGTTTGAATATTATATGACTTTTCAGTTAAACTAATATAATATAGGTAATAAATATCTGATCTTAACTAATATCAAAAAAACAGTTAATTATAATATAGAAAAAATTTCATATTTTTGCTAACATTAAAATTTGAACTTTAGACCTAGCATTTGAACATTAACAACTTAATTACTTTACTAGGTCATTATATTTCTAAATAATTTTTATTTAAATTATTATAAATATAGAAACTTTTAAGAACTTTTTTATATAAAAGATTATAACTAGTTATTTATATACTTTTGGTATCTAATTTAAGTAGTTTATTTATATATTATTATACAAATTATATACTAAGTATTATATTGCAAGTTAATTATAGGTTTAGTTTATTTAAACCTACTATATATACAATTTAACTTGTATTATAAAACATATTTAGAATACAACTTATTTAAAATCTTAATATATTTTAGTATCTTTAAATCTACTTTATTTTTAACATAAAGTTTACTAAAATTTTTTATAGCTAATTTAGTTTTATATAATATGTTATAGTTAATATTTATAATTATAAATATTTTATTAAACTATTATTATTATTCTATTAACAATATAAAGTTCTAATGATTATCATTAATATTTGTATTTTTTATATAAATAACTAAATAGATTATAAAAATTTTTAAAAAGTAAATAAAAAATTTAAAAAATACAAAAACTTTAAATAAGTTAATTAGTTTGTTTATAATAATATATTTTTTAAATTACAATTAATATATTATTACAAAGTAGATTTTAGTATAATATAATATATTATATTATTAGTAGTTATTATATATTTATTATTGTATTTTATATATTATATTATTATTAATTATTAGTTATTAGTTAGCTAATAATTATATAATATAGTAGCTAGATAAAAGAATCTTAATTGGCTATTAAAAATATAATATAGTAGCTAGATAAAAAAATCTTAATTGGCTATTAAAAATATAATACAACTATACGACATTGAATAACATCTGTGATGTTATTATTATCTTACAAATTCCAAGTACTTTTATATAAGTTTTATGTATTTTAGTATCAAATTATTATGTCAAATATTATAGCACAAGTATTTTAAATATCCTTAACACAAACTTCAAGTGTTTTTGCATAAGCTTTAAATATTTTTTTACAAATTTTAAATATTTTTGTACAGATCTAATAATTTAATACAAGCTCAAAGTATTTCAAACATACTATAAATAATAAATAATATAAATAATATCTTTAATTATTTTTGCTTAATCTTTACTATTCTAAATACAATATTATTTAATATAATTTAATTTTTTAATATTCCAAATACAATATTAATTAATATAATTTAAATTTTTATTATTTTGATTACAATGGGTATGGTAATCTAGTAAAGTGAATAAGTTGTTAATTTCTAAGTAGCAGGTCTAAAGTTCAAATCTCAGTGACAATAAAAATTTGCAATTTCTTTTGTGTTATGGTTAATTGTCTTTCGTGATTGGTTAAAATTAGATACCTGTAACTCATGTCATATTAGCATGACTAGAATGTCTAGGCACTTATACAATATTATATAAAGAAACACAAATCAGTATTAGGCAGTATGAACCTAAGATA